CTTAATACCACAAAAGCGGAAACTATGCGGAAATCATTAAAGAAATAGTTTTTCGAATAAATTTGAACGAAAAAAATTAAAATTATACATTCAATTTTGATTTAGATTGAGCTAATCACTGTAATGTATGCTGGTACCGAATCACATTGGCCATTAACAGTGATTGATCTGGATCGTCAAATTGTATGTACTTCATCTCCACATCCAAAACATCGTGCACTAAAGCTTCTCAAACAAAAGAACGATATCATGCAGATACTGAAAAGAACTGATGTTGATTTCAAAGACCCAATAATACCGAAAATGTCGGTGTCATTTTCAAAAAAATGCTTTACATACATTAAAACTCATTATCATTTGAACTCTTTTGAACCTGTAGTAGTTTTTATATCTCCTCAGTGTTAGTGATATTTAAGTTCTCATTGATTTATAATTTCAATGTTTCCCATGATGTTAAATTTCTAGTGAATTACGAAATTGCCATGCAGACCCTCGCGTTACAAATTTTCTCATCAGAATGGATTTATTGCCATTTGAAAAAAGCGCTCGTTTGGGGTTTATAAGACAATTTAGATTGATGATCGAAAATTCAGCTAGAGCACTTATTGCGTACATACAGGATATAAGGTTAGTCTTTTTTTGAAACAAAGATTTACTTCTTAATCGTTACATGCCATTAACATGTATTAAAGAAAAGCAATTACATGCCATTAACACGTATTAAAGAAAAGCGAAGCAGGATAACCTAAAGAGTCGTTATTTATAAAATATAAGATTAAGTGAAGACCTGGATTAGTTTTAAATATACCGTTTTATTTAGTGAACCCGATTCTTCATATAAGCAACATACAACAAGCTCGAGATGGAGTCTTTGGCCTGCGCGCAAATCACTTGATTTAGTCAGCAATGCATCATTTCTAGTAACTCTGGCTGAAGCCGAACGTATTTTACCGGAGATTGCTGATTTTATATGCGAATCAAACAATCTGTGATGCATCGTGATGATTTGCTGTGACTTAGGGAAATCATTAAATATTGAAAGTTTTGTGGGGAACTACGAAATACATATTTTATTTGCAAGCTTTTCAATAATGTTTGCAGTCGTACAAGTCTAGTTTTCATTGAATATTTGTTATGTTTCAGTATGAGAAAGCACTAAACGATAAATTACTTGGTATCGATTGCTGTTCCATTTCGCTAATACCAGGTCTTTTTTTTTTCCATTTTTACGGAATCTAAATCAGTGACTTACGGAAGTGCCTTATCTAATATCATAAATTACTTACACACAATTGACGGTAGTTGTTATATTGCGTTTTAATGATTTGCCAGTGTTTGTATTTTATATGCTATTTATATGTCTCGGAATTTCCAGCTAGAAGGAATTATGTTCACTTCTCCTTTATTTCATCCCAAATGTTGTAAACAGTAAGCTTTAAGAAAAAAAAAGTCAGTTTCATAACAAGTCACAAATCTAGATTTCCATGCATACATAATTTTGTATGTAATCTAAATTTCCATGCATTAATTCTTTTTACACTTTTTTGACCATGAAATCGGCATCTGCAGCGTTGCTTGCACTACACAATTTAATTATTTGTTATATAAATATATTGGCTTTGAAGTTTTACGTTTACAATATTCTCCGATTTTATTGGATTTTCTGAATATCGTGAACATGTACTATATATAATATTCGCTATTTGTCCGTGCTAAATTATAGTTGTATAATAAGTTAGAAATAAAGTGTCATTTCTGAACTTTGGTTAGTAATGCGGGAAAGGCTTTTAGTTTTGAAATTTTATCAAAGAAATTTGATAAAATTTAAAATAGTTTTGAAGACTTTGACACTATACGTATTATGCAAAAGGCTTGAATATCTGAATCGTTTTAGTTCTTCAACTATTGCAGTGAATAAAGCGTTTTTTTTTTTTTTTTTTTGTTGTGTGTGTGCAACTGTGTTAATAATTTAATGTATCTCTCGTTAAACAGTATAATCATATAATATGTAGATGTTTGTTACATGATTGTGATCGAATCTGTTAATGGCTAGCAAGAGTTTCAAATGAAGCATTAAATAATTTTTATCGGTTTGGGCTTTTAGCCATAAAAGCATTTTACAGCTTTTGAGAGGTTTAAGTAAATTGGAGGGATTTCATAATTTAAATCAATAGGAGAAAGGCGGATTTTTCCCAAGTTCAGACCGAAAGATCTTGAAATACTGCAATTTTTTAGGAAGAGAACTAACATCGTTTTTGTTTTTTTGTTTAATTTGCTGAAGACCGATAGATTATTTCTCTAGTGCTATAATCTTTTGCTTCCAGTTGTAATTTTGTATTTTTTATGTGCGTGCATATATATAGTACTCAAGACGAGTTTGTGGACCCTAGAATTCCAGAAAAGATAATCATTGAGAATTGAGCAGCATTGTTCTGGTGGACGTTCACCACATCAATGTTGCATTTTAATATGGTGCACTTTCAAACTTTAAATAAATAAGGGTTTCATTTATATCGAAAGGGACGAATTTAGCGGAAGTTCTCAAAGGTTCGAAAGTATGATTCAGTTTTTAAGTCGAAAATTTCCACAGTCTCATGGGCTAAATGAATTCCGTTTCTTGCAGTTACATTTATTTTTCACACTGAGATGTAAGCTTAACTGACTTACTTTTTTTGCAGTATCGATAGTAAAGCATTGTCGAAATGATTAGAATAATGGCGAATATACCCAGCATATATGTGAATATTTCACCCGTTTGCATGCTTCTGGAATGAATGGTTTTTTGTGCTTTGTATGAAATTAATAAATAATCAAAATATTCGATTGGTCAAATAAGTTAAAGGCAGAAATTAATGAACTGCTAACCAATTAGTTGAATGAACTTTGACGGTTGGGGTCAAACTTACGTTAGTTTACGTTATATCACTTATTGCGCTGCTCTAATTAAAACAAAGCTACACGTACCACTTCACGTTTTTGATAGAAAACGGAATCCTGGAATGTTCTACATTATCCAACCAAGAATCCTTTTTTATTCAGATGAAATAGCAGGGATATTTTTTAACTAGAATTCTCGAAGTAAAGTCTCTTCAAGGTGCAAACTATCTCAAAGAGTTCCTGCAGGCTGCAAGGGCAGCATGGTACTGTTTTAGAGGAGCATTGTTTCTGGTTAAACAATTTCACGAAGAATTTCAAGGTGATTTTCAAGGATATTAGAAGTTTAAATAGAATACTTACATATTGACGTGTATTTTTCGTGGACATCCGACTTCATCAGTCTCTATTTCCATCTGTTGTTTATTCGATTTTTTCTTGTTTTAATTCTCACTTCATGTTGTGTTCTACCGGCCTTTAATTATTGAAATGGTTCTGAAGTGAAAAAAAAAAAATTAAGATTATTTAAGAAGTGTTTCTTTTCAAGTTACTGACCATGTTTTCACTTGACCTTGCTCTCAAATTGTTCGAGCTCATTTGAAGTAAAACCGATTTCTTAATAGTGGGACAAATATTTGAGCTGACATAATAACAAAGAATGCCCAATAGTCAAAACTCGTGCTGTAAATCGATAACACATTCCAATCCTTTTTTTGAAATTTGCTTGCTGTTTTAATGAGATGAATTTCAAAAAACAGATTTTTCATACAAAAATCAGAAGGGCAATGGCCTAGGAAATCATAAATCATTAGTTAAATTCAAGAGTCTTTACTATGCAACCGTTATGTTAATGAAAATAGCAGATCGCAGTAAGTGGAAGCTATTGGAACAACTTTAAGATTAAAGACAAGTTGTTTTGTGAGAACTTTCGTGATACTAGAAATAATGGCCATATTATTAAACAAATGTTTAACGATTTTTAAATAGGAGGACACCGACCATAATGTCTCTTTTTCACTTTCGTATGAAAAGTATTACAAGTGAATTATTACGTGTTTAAAGTAGATTTGGAACATCTAGATTTCTAAGGAACACTATGATTTTTGAATTTTGTCATAAATACATTTAGCTAGGGAACGAAACTTCAAAAAGGAACAAATTTGCAGCAACTAAGCTGTCAGCTTACAACCTATGTTGATACTACTGCAGTATATTTGAACCATAGAGCGTTCCAATTGAGCAGCACCATCAGCACTATGTTGAAAATTGAACTTGTCAGAAAGATCCGTGAAATATGTAAAAAGTAGCTATGAACAGCTTTGATTTACGTCATCAAAAACATCCACTTCAGAGTTCAGTCTAAACGCTCTTTTTTAAATGTACCTCGCACTAACTGATTTTACGGCTTTTCAGTTCTGCCATTGCATGATCGTAAGACAACTTTTCAATTTTCTTCCCTTTGTGCAGAACGCGACTATATTTTCTCAGGGATACACTGATTAAATGTTTATCTTTGCCGCGCTAAAATCTTATTTATCATTAAAATATAATGACCAAGGTTCAGCCTTACAACGTTTAATTCATCTTGACAAATTTTAACTTTTTTTAAATGTAAATACTACTTTTTATTTTGCACATAAAGTACTATTTATTATCTTTGGTAATGGAGGAATTAATAGAATGCTAAAACAAGCTTATTTCACATTGCTGAGGCTATTTCGTACTTAGCAAGGAACCTTGCTTGTTTGAAGCATGTTGAATGAGTGAAAACACCGGTTGCGTTTAATCAGTAAGACATAAACTTCAATTTAAAAAACTGAACTGAATTCTTGTTTGCACGAAATCATGTGAAGCATGGAATAAAAAGCAATGGAAATACATAAAAAAATAAAGCACAGAATAACAAGGATTCAATTATGAATCCTTGTTATTCTTTGTTATAGAAAAGTATGAATTATTTCATGAATTAGCATGAAAATCATGAATTATTGCCTAGTTTATCTTTCAATTCGTTCACCAACCTAAATGGCAACGAGCACTCAAAATTTTCACAGATGTAGACAGCGGGAGTACCTGTCGAGATTGCTAATAGTTTTAAATGGTCTCTACATTTTGCAGCCATGAGTCTACGAATTCGAAATTTTTTTCTTTTCTTTTTGAAAAGATCCTGTAATTTAAGTACTTAAACTACACAAAATTTACAACGTCAAAAAATTTCTTTTCATAAATTTTACATCCAAGTTTAAAATTCAAAATTCTCAGCGTCCACACTTACCTTTTTCAGGATCTAAGGATATCAAAATTCCCATACAATCAAAACGCTTCGAAATAAGTGATAGTATATATTTTGTTATTTCATTGCTTCTTGAACCAACCACAATGACCTATAAGTGGATATATATTCCCAGTACGGATGTCTTTTGTTTTCAACCAAAATTGACAGAAACAAATTATGTGACAGAAACAAATACAAAACGAAATGTATAATTTGAAAACAAAATTTGAACTGGCAGTGGTACCTGCTTATCCGAACGTACATGTCTTTGTAATGCATTGATCCTTTTTGTTAAAATGAAGGGATACTTGACCAAACGTTCTGCAGTACTTTCAAAAATCTTTTGTGCTCGTTCACAGTAACTTTTTTCATTAATAATACTATGAATCCTAGCCAAGTTCATTGATACAACTGAATTTGTCGATGGGATCTCAGCCACATCATCTAAATTTTCCAAATGATTTTAGGTCTTATTCTTTTTAAAATGTCATTGATTCCCATAATATTGTTGCTAGCAACGTTTCAGGTGTTGTTGTGAGCAGTGTTATCGGTGGATACTATAACGAGCTTGGTTTTCAAAAATATCACAAAATGAAGTCATTTTTTTGTTAACGTCAAGAATTTAATATTTCCCTCGTCTTTCAGTTGATATTCCTGGGCCGTCTTTGACGCGCTAAGTTGTCGAGAACAGATATCTGCAAGTAAAATTATTCTTACAAATTTATTTCTATCATTAGTCTATCAACATACATAAATGATTGCGTAGTAGATCATCCTTATTAATAAGACGAGGTAAGTAAATTAAAAAATGCAAGACTAAATGAGAGGAAACGACATGGTCATGTCTCGGAAATCTGTTTTAACTGTAATTTAGAAAAAAAGAAGAAACGAAATGTACATGAATATGGAATATAGCACCGTCCTTATGATTTGTGGAATATGCAGAGAAATCGTAAGGATTATCGCTAAAAATAATGGCTTTCATGTTCAATTTAATGCTGTTTTGTCTCCACGGGTATTTCCAAAAATTGGTTAAATATAAATTGCAATTATGTTTTACATGATTTTAATTAATTTCTTTTAGAAATCTGTTTTTTCCAGACGACTTATACGTGAGAGGAAAATATTAAACTTTTGCTAAAGATTTTGAAAATGCAAAAAAACACCGTGGAATACAATAGTTCCTAACAATTGGTATTTTACTGAAAAAAAGAGGAATGAATTGAGTTCTTTAATAAAACTAATTTACTGTTTTTTTAGTTTACTTAAAAAAATCATTAAAATCAAATTTTTGCCTTTCAACTGTTAATATTTGCCGTTGGTTTGTGATTCAGTAAAGAATATTTAGAAATGATAAATTTGATACACAATCTGGAAATCCTAGTTTGCATTTGAGCAGGATTTCTGCTTTTTATTAATGACGATGTATTCCGAGAAGCTGCTAAAAAATAGTAATCGAAATTAGTGCAGATATCCGAAATATATGTGTAAGAAATTGAAAACATATTTTTTCAGATTTCAATTTGGACTATAAGCTATTGAAATTCACTGCCATTTCTTAGAATTTGATTTATCATTAGTTTTAACATCTGAATTTATGACCGACTAGGCAATTTGTAACATTATAACATTGTTTTGCCTTGATGGCTTCCACGATTCTGCAATCATTATGACCAATTCACTTAGAGCCCAAGATATAAATTCGACTTTTCAATTTCTCTGCGTGCTTTCTTCCTTAATGAAACTGCCACAGAACGGATTATTCGAGATTGTTTGTGGAAAGAAGAGAGAGAAATAAGTTCAGGGAGAGTTCATAAGTGGCTAGGGACACACTCAACAAGCCCAATTATGAGAACCGTAGGCTTTGTTCACATAATACCATAGCTGCTCTGAGAATTAAAGATTGGCAAGGATTTCTCATTACCATAAGTCAGTAGTGATGGTTGTATAACCGAATGATAACTGTATTTGTTGATTTGGTCCTCTCACATCTAAATATTATCAACGAAGATACTGCAGGAAGTAATTTCTCATCTTCCGACTCTTAGATTTTCATTACGTAGAATACGCATTTTTTAAAAACGTGATTCAATATTCCGCAACTCAAATGTTATGAGTGTTATTTGCCACTTAGTGATTGATTAAAACAGGTAACCAGAAAAATCACCGGTTTAAAGTATGTTAAATTGAAAGTCCCAAAAATTTGTGTCTGTGATCTTTCTTGTAATTTTACCTACAAGTATAACCGATGTGTAGTTGACACTTATTTTTTCACTACAATAACTGATCCATTTAAATTATAAAGGATAAATTTTATCTTACTTTATATTAAAGGAAAAATCCCGCAAACTTCAGCAAAACTTGTTCGAATGACAAGGTATCATTTCATTACGCAACTTGATAATATCACTTTTTTACCATTGAAAGTAACGTGAAAAAAAAGGACCATTTATAAGCTGTTGCATATTACCACATTATAACAATTAGCTTTGTACTTGGAAGTCCTAGTTTTTAAGAGATCTAGAAATAGCTGTTTACATAAAAGGTATCAGCAGCTGTTTGATTATTGCGAATAATAGACAAGTATTTTCTCACAGTAATTATTCTATTAAAAATTTGCAGATATTGTTTTGAATTCCATATTATCTTCAAATTTCTGGCCGTTTAAACATGCATTTTTTTACACCAAAAAAAAAAAAAAAAACGATGCTCAATGACAGAAGCATCGATTACACTGCTGCATCACTAGACGTTGATCCATCATCCAACTTTTTTTCCAACCAGTAAGTTAATAAGACTCCTTTGCCCTGAAACAATTTTGATGAAATAATTTTTAGGATTTATGGAAAATTCTACGACTGTTTACATATTGCTCATTGTTCCGCTCATGTTCAAACTTTCTTTCAGATTTTTGGAAGAGTACTTTCAACAACGCTTGAATATCAAATACCTTTATTTCTACTTTCCCTCTTTCTTGACATGCATAGAACGGGTAGTGAATCATAAGAAAGTCTCGCGCATCTGAACTCATCTGTATTTTACCGGGAAAACTTGTGCTTTCCATTCGAGATGCTTCATTCACCTCAACAACAATGTACTCATCAAATCAAATCATAAAACACAAAAACATGGGCACAATTGCTGTTTACCAAATTTTCGATCGCTCTTTTCAGAATTTTATTGAAAGTAAAGCTTTTTCTGGCTCCCTAAATAAACTTTTTTGGCTTTTTATCGCCCCAATCTTTTATTAGTTGCAGTAACTCCGTCTTGAGAAATAAGTAAAAATAAAGCACAAACCGTGTCACCAAAAAGGCAATAGCGAGGTGATGTGAGTCCTACGACCCCGGCAGCTGCAGGACCAGTGTGAAAACCCCAGCGACATTGTAGCTTATCTGAGCGATGTGGTACTTGATAGCTATTGAGATACTATAATGTTAGTAAAATATATCTTGGAGATAATTCAGAAAATGATTTCTGTTACGTTTGATTACGAAGAAATAAACTTCTAGAAACAATAAATTCAAAAAGACCACTGACAACAGAAAGCTGGTGAAAGGTATATCGTTTCAAAACAATTCCTCCCGTTTTTTTTTTCCAATCTTAAATTACTAACTTTTCTCATATCCAGTGCAACATCAGCAATGCACTGAATGTGTTTGGCACCATTTTCTTCAGGTATTCCCGAAACCACCATGTATGCATCACCAATTGTTTCCACCTAAAATCCGGAAATTCATTAACAAAAACTGACCCTCACAATAAGGTAATTTGATATCATAAATATTTTTAACAAACCTTATAGGCTCCGCTACGACAAATGCACTCATCAAAGCCACTATATAAACCATTTAGCATCGTGACAACTTCCAAAGGTGTAGAAGAAGAACAAATATTTGTGAAACCGACAATATCCGAAAATAACACAGTTGCCATTTCAAATAATTTAGGTGGAACAGAGCGACCAAGTTTCAGTTCATTTGCAACATATCTTCAAGTAGTCATCTTTCCAAAACTTGAATGATTTACACGAAAACGGAGACTCTAATTAGAATCTATGAGTATTTATAACAGAAAACTTTACGGCGGAAGTAATTGTGACAATAATTTATCGGCTCGAGTGTTTGCTTCTTCAAGCATTGCAGTTCGATCAGCAACTAACTTCTCCAGATTTGTAGCATATTGCTCCATTACTGACATCATTTGGTCAACCAAACTGTCTTTCCTGACATTTGACAATAATTAAAATCAAACAGATCTCGAAATGGTATAATAAGCAGTACTTCATAAGCAAACATTTGCTAAGTAATCTTTTTGCTGAAAAAGAAAAAAAAAAACGGACACTTTTAGAATTCTCTTTGTGTTCAACTGAACACGTCGTATCGTCGGTCGGACTTCCAAATTTTCAGACCAACAGTCCTCCAAAAGTGCACATAGATCAGGATGCACATTCCGGGAATGCATTATGCGAGGTGGAAATGTTCTGCTTCCATCTGATATAGTATCCACCAGTTCTGTAATTCCGTGACAACATTTTCAGTTTTGCATTACTTCCCGTTGGCATCACAAGTGAATTTAAAGATGAATCTAACTCTAAGTGGAATAGTGAACAAGTAACTTTGCAGCAAGTGCTGGCAACTTAGAATTAAAATAGAATTCAAATTATACAAAATTCAGCTATGAAATAAGGATGGAATGAGTAATTTGACATTATGGGAAAGAAAAACGATTTTCAAAATTATGGTCTGATGAAGGTTTATCCATGTACCGTTGATATCCATATTTTCTGGGTAAGGTAGCGAACGAAAAAGGATTTCATACATAACCATCCCTAACGAATAAATATCGCCAGCTTGTCGAAGAACTTTTGATTGCTTTTTCCAATCATGGTCCTTTACAGATCGCCGATTCAGTTCTCGATTTTTTAACATTTCAGGAGAACAATAAAGTACAACTGCAAAAGTAAAGATGTTTGTTTCAAACTTTATGACTTAAATGGAAGTTAGTTATTTCAGAAAACAGTTCTTGTATATCGAAGGCTCTCATATCATTGAATGGGCCTTGTTCCTCTTACTACGTAACAAAGGTAAAACTAATAAGAAATAAGAGTATAAAAAAGGATACAAAAAAGTTTGGTCTAACATCTCTTTTGTGTAGGTCAGCATTAAATGATTCAGCGAATAAGCTAAATTTACAAATAGTAAAATTTGAAAACTACATACTTGCACGATCTGATTAACCAAATACGAATTTCAAGAAATTCCTATTAATCAATGTGTTATTTTCTAAAAAAAAAGGTACATGTCCTTTGTGTAGGTCCACTTTTGTCATCATCCGAAATAAGTGCATTCACTGAAATCCACCCTCTTTTTTCCCAACGTTCGATTGAATTTGCAATTCCGAAAT